CTCCACTTCAACACACATGCACGCGTAGGTGCTTGAAACTACACCTGCACCCCCCCTCCCGTTCTGTGTGTGTTTCTGATGTGTGGTATCGTCTAAATACGCACCCCTCACTAATAAACTCGTGAGTGTTCTTCTGTTAGATTTTGTAGGCATACACACACACACACTGGTGTACTCGTAAGGGTTCTGTGCATGCTCAAAGATGTGCAATCGACACCTGTACATACGGAGGGATGTATCTAATACTCTCTTTGTAGGTATACAAACTTATATTCTTATATTCAAAACGTTGAGCTATACGCTAAGCTCGCATACACCCGATGTAACAGTCATTAGGGCTTCCACTCCCTGAGACCATAGTACTGTCTATCATAGTGAGATCAGACGTGCAAGGCTCTACACTCAGTATCTAAACATACTTTGACCTTCGCTTTCTCACCCACACCCGCCATATACGTTCGTACGCAATGTGTACGTCTTGGTACAGACGCACTGCAACCCAGTCAGACACATATATAAATACCTACACAACCGAAAACGACAGATAGCTTATACGTTGAATTTGGGCCGGTATTCTCTTGTGGCTGCTATCCCTCCCCATGGACGACCCATTCGTGGGCCTCCTACCACATCTACTCGGCATAGTACATTAGACGGCTAAGTACATTAAACAGCACGATAATACAACAAACAGATACGGCTGTGGTTTGCAGGTGAACGCCTTTCAGACCCTCTTTGTACCTTCTCTCCACATCCATGCGTGACTCACCCCATCCGACCCACCACCCGCACTGACAGACACAGCACACACCAAGATGCATGTTCTCAAATCGCTACCTACCAAATGGCTTAACGGTTCTTTCCATACACCCCCCAGAGGTATATCTGAGTGCTTGCTTTGCACTCTGCTGACACCTGAGCTCTCACAGTCCACTCTCTGTGTCTTTGCCTTTTGGTTGGTTAGGGTGTCGAGGGGTGGCCCGTTATAGTGCGCCCGTAACTTCTTGCGAACCATACTCTCGGATACAACTACACCCGCACGCCTGGTAGCGATGGGAGATCAGAATGTGACCAAAAGGCAGTACAAGCGATACATTAAATAAACGGATGCATGGATAGGGTTGATATTGCAGTTTATTTTTATTTGGAAATGAATATATATATATGTATGTATATAT